ACACACATACACACACACACACACACACAACTATCAATTTTGGTGAAAATCCTGCCGACGAATTAGCCACTAGCGTTGTTCACAGGCAGGCAGACGTTTCACCTCGAACCAAGTTTTCGGTATCAAGGTCTCACAACACACCCATTGTGACATGTTTTATGAAATTCTATACTTCACAAAGGAACAAGAATTTTCCACATTTTTTGTATTAGGGATTCACCTAACGCAATATCGCCATTTTGCTGCAGCATTTCAGAATGTTTTCTATAGTACTAATATGCGAGAAAGTCAAAAAGAACAGAAATATTTTTTTGGAAATAAGTGCCATTCTGTGACAGAAACATGGTGATTGCTTCAAAGTTGAATGCGTGTCTGAGAACTTCAATGAGTATCCGATTTTAAGCATGGAGATGCGAGCGCGAAGACGCTACCCAGCAGCGATTCTCTGACTTGACTGCGACTGACGTGACTAGACTAAACAGCAGCCTCTACAGGCTGCTAGGTGATTAATAACGGAGGATTACTCCACGGTGCGCTCAATGCTCCTTAAGGAGTTAGGAGACGCGTTGCGCAACCAATTTTTTTAAAAAATAATCTTGAATCTATAAAATTATACTTTTTAACAGTGATAAGCACATTTGAGAGGTTATGAGGCCCGTTGAGAAGGACGTTCGCGAATTGAAAAGATTAATTTTATAAGGCAGGTATAACTATAACCTAATGTCATCTACCAATATACAAAAATTAAAGTTAAAAATATAACAGTTGATTGAATAGCAGTGTTGCCAGGTGGTCTTCAGAATTTCCCAATAGATAGCGCTACAAAAAACATCAAAAAGTAAAAAAAAAAACTACCAAATTCGAAAAATTATTATTTCATGTTTAAAGTACATGAGGAATTAGGGAAATTAAAGAAATACGATAAATAGTATTAATTGTATACGATATTTATATTTTATAGGAAACATTTGAATTATATAAATTATAACAATTTACATAATGTACATACACACACATTGTTTAAGTTTTGTTTTATGGAGTTTCACACTACGAGTTACGAAAGGTAAGACGTATCGTTGTCTCACTCATTGTAATTACCGGAAAAGAAATAATGACACCTCTTATTAAGAACTTCCCTTCAACAGTAATCGTTGTTACAATTACTTGTTTATTGGTGAGATTCGTTCCTTTTTATCAAATGTGTTACCCTCTTCTACCAATCTTTGTTTGTGACAAATAATCGCCAAATTTAATCGAGGCAATTTCTTAATATGATCTTGCACGTGTATAAGTGTTTTCACTACACTGTTATATATGAACAAATGTACCTGCAATGATCATAAGGGACTATTTTTGGATTTAGGAATATACTATAGATTTTAAAAAAAAGAAAATCTCAAATAAATTTGCTCCCTTAATCACCCACTAAAAACAAAAACCTTCATTTAATGGGAAACCCTCTCCCCTGGCAACACTGTTTAATAAGCCTCAGCGCTCACTGGTTGGGAAAGAAAATAAGAAGCGGGATTGGAATCTTTCATTTTGAGATGGACGAGTAAATTACAACGATCGAACGGAATTGGAACATTAGGGCACACTCTAGTCAACGAAATAATAATATATAAGAACATCAACAAAGCCATTTCCACTGCTCTAATGAGAAAACTAATTGAGTTTTCAATTTTGCTGCCACTAATAACTTATTTCCACATCAAAACTGTGCACCGCGCAAGTACTGAGCGCTATTCCAATTTTTGTCAAAATGGGATATTTTTAACATGTATGCCAATTTCATTGCTGTTCCTAGAATACTGCGAAGACAGACGCAGTCAGCACAATTCAGAGGGCAGAACTATTTTTAAACTGCTCTTCTGTTTAAGTAGATAAATGTGCTCTTTACCTCTAGGGTACAGAATTATCCTATGTATTTAACAAAACTGACAAGGGAATATTACTACATGAGCCCTAATTTCCATACGAGTACCTTAAATAAACACTTACTGACAAAGTGAAAGGTTTTCCAACTACTGTTGCTTTTCACCTGGAAATATACGGATCATTAAGAATGTCCAATAAACCGTTATTCGAACAGAACACAAGTAGAAAAAACTCAAGCAGAACGATAACTACTTAAGTTTCAGCCACCACGACAATGCACAAATGAAAACAGTGACCATGACCATGGTGCTACAAATTTAAATAAGACTAAGTAACTGATGCAATTTCATTAGTATGAAGTAAATGAACAGATTTATTTATTTCGAACATTCATGTAAAACTCCATTGATTAATTGCTCTACTTAATGCGGCACTTCCCACCTTGCGAGGTGTAACGTAAACAAGAGAAAAGCGACTTCCATTAAAATAACAATGTACCTGATCAAAGACCAGTGTTGCCAGGTAAGGAAATGTCAGAAATAGAATTATATTATCGATTATATAAGAGATATTTATATTTTACAGGAAACACCTACATTTATAATACATAAAAATATGTATAACAAGTATTACATAATGGACACATACAAAAAATGTGTAAGTTTTGTTGAAGGGAGTTTCACGCTAAGTTACATGTAAAAAATCAGAAATCGAAGCCATCTTGACAAGTAAGAAACTGTCACTCTCATGACCGAATAAGATATAACGATACCTCTTTATAAAAACTTTCCTTCAACAGAACAGTTGTTACCATTACTGATTTATTTCTGCGATTCGTCCTTTTTCATAAAATGTCTCTCTCCACCAATCTTTGGTTGCGACAAAAAAGCGCGTATTTTAAACGAGAGAATTCAAATTATCTTACACGCATGTAAGTGTTTTTTCAATCATATTTGATTAGTGTGGGCACATTTATTTTCGGTGGTTTAACATTTTGAAATTACTGAATCACATAATTTTAAACTTAAGTTTGTTTGTTTTTTACTCCTCAAAGTTTGTCCTGCGACGTTTTGGAGGCATGGATTTTTTTCCATCTTCAGGCTACAATGAACATAAGAGAAAATTGTGTGCTTTTGTTAATGTAAAAAAGTCACTAACGTTAATATATAAAAACAATACACATAACGGAAACAGTAGCACTCGATATAAAATAGTACATGAAGACTCACCATTTAGAACAACAAAAGGTAAGTAATACAATTTTAACTAAGTATACAGAGAAACAGAGAAACTCCATCAGCCAGTGCCTAAGCACGTTCAGCAGTCACAATTAGAGGATTCAAATTAACAAAATGGAATTAACAAAGGACTGAGGAAGTTGGGGGTAGTAGAGGGGGGATATGGGAGATGGTTTCAAATTACTGCTTTAACAGGAATTTGATTGAATGTGTTTTTACTACGCTTAGTTATTCTTGAATTAATATACCTGCAATAATAGCAAAGGGAACTATTTTTTTGTGATGCACAATATTTTCAAAAAATTAAACATTTAAAATCCAATGAAAACTCCTAAATAAATTTGCCTCTTAAAACACCCATAGACAAAAAATCCCTAAATTTAGGGGGGGACTCCTAACTCGCCAATTCTGCCCCTTAAGAATCTTTGGTTGAGATAAGTAACCGCGCATTTTTAAACGAGGTTTCAAATATTTTTACACGCCTATGTGTTTTACTAGGGTTAGTTGTTTGAATAAATATACATGCAATAACCATAGGGAACATTTTTGTGATTTTGTGACAAGATATCTTTTTTAATTAACATTTAAAAAACTATCAACCACCCCCAAAAAAATTTGCACCCTAAAACATTTAAAGACAAAAAAATCCCTAAATTTAGGGACAAAACCCCTAACCTGGCAACACTGCAACAGGCCGGCGCGAATTTGTCACTGCTGCTGCTATGATTTCGCCACCGCTGCGTCGTCGCTGCTTACGAACCTGCTTAGACCCGCAGTAGTCTAGATACTAGTCTGCAGCAGCGACTGTGATTGTGCAGTGATTTATTTCCCGCGAATTTGTCGCTGCGATTAAGCCGCGGCTCACCTTGGTTTTGTCACTTCACGACACTCTCGTTGCATTGAAAACTCGAAACAGAAAGACGAACCATTCGAAATAGTGTGGTAAGGCAGAGTTGTACGATGACACACGAAGAATAAATGAAAAAAGGATGATATCCACGGAAATCAGGTAAGGGATGAATGCAGTGAGAACAAAATTAGTTTATTATAATTGTATTAATATATACAAAAGATTTTATATGCATATTTCATTCAATATTTTACTGTGTCTAGTAATTACTAATATTTTTCCAATTGTGTCTAAAGGTTCTTCTGAGTGTGGTCTATTTTTATTTACCCCTGGTTCAGTATTTCATCGTAATTTTTAAAACTTATTAGATTTCTCCTACCAATTGGAATCGCAAATTGTTCATCAAGAGAGAAAGCCTCACGACGTATGATATTTTTAAAGTCTAATATCCCGATTTCTTTTAAAAAAACTCCCACGTCTCGTTTTGAAATAAAAATAAAATATTTTCTCGTCTTTTAACAGCCGATGCAACAATGTATGGACTTCCTACTCTTTCAGAAAAACTTTTCGAAAATCATTAAAATCTTCAGAAAATAAACTTTTTGGACAACCATTAAGAAAAGCGGCTCCTTCAAGGCATGCCTAGAATGCTAAAAGTGAGTCGATACTGAATTGTTCTGATAAATCTGTCAATGCAACAAAGAAAAGAAAATACTTTCGTCTGACCGGCAGAAACAAAAATATCAAAAAGTCAGTAAGGCTGTCTAAAACAGTGTATGACACACGGTAAAAGTGTTATTTTGCTCCATTGCGGCACTCGGCCCGTAGGCTCCACGACGCAACATTTCCTACTCGCAAAATAAAAGGTCACCTTTACAACTTGTATCATAAACAGCCACTTTCAATCAAGGAAAACACCCCTCGCATTTACTTATTCTCAAAGTAGAGACATTTGCCTCCTCTTCGACGATGGGTTTCAGACGGTCGCAATTGTTCACTACAGAATTTTAGTACAGTCGGTAAACATGTTTTACCTGGAAAAGAGGCATAACTTTTTCTTTGTGTCTGTTGTATTAGTTAACTCCCCAAGTGTTCGACCTCCCAGATCCTGTGCCAACTCCAAGAGGCCCCAAAAATCGGGATTTTCTCTTTCACCCTGCGTCCTGTAGAAAAATTGAAATCAGTTTAAAAAATAACATTTCCTACAATTTTTGTATCAAACATGTTTTTGAAATCAATTTATCGATCGAGTATCAGCTTTTCCATAAAAACTCATTTTATCATTTATCGACAATATGGGTAAAGACACGTTTGTGATATTAAAATAAACATATAACAAATATAATTATTATTACACTCATTACTTATCTTACCACTGTTGTTAACATTCCCTCACAAATGTACCTATTGCCGAAAATATTAGTATACAAAAAAATTAACGGATACATTTATGTGAGGATTGGTGTTCCATCTTAACTTATTTTTTCACCAAGTTTTTTCTAATATGCTAAAATAGTAATTTTTGACAGTGGAGAAAAAGGATATAATTAGGCATGCCGAGATTTCATATGTTAAAAAATTAGTTTTTAAATAAAAATTATTGAATTGAATTGAATTTGCCTTATTTTACGTGGCGAGACTCGGGCCATCAGGCCCGCTCTTCCGTCTGACCACGCAAATTTCGCTACGCTCCTTTCACCAAGTAGCAGAGAAAGGAGGTATTTCTTGGGCGAGAAACTGGCGATTTGAATTTAGCTCAGAGGCGTCATTTAGGCTTGAGGATCTTTTACATGCAAGTAAATCTACTAACGTGGGACAGCCCGCTTTACTTTCCCTCCGAAGGAAGGCGTACGAAGGATTTTTTCGCCCTCAAAAATCCGGCTTCCGGAATTATTATTCGCCGAGCGAAACCACATAGTTTTGACAACGTTGTGCTGGCAACAGTACAACCTTGTTGGTGTACCTGTACTGGACGTTTTCAAGTAATAGCTGAGGTTTTAGAAGCGTAGAAAATGCAGTGTTTCAATATTACGTAGCCGTTCCCAATAACGCGAGAATGTATGTGCTTTTTATAGCACTACTGTTTTTTGGTGAGGCCAGATAGAAAGTGTAAACGAGGAATTTCGGACAGAAAGATCCCCGATTTGACAGGGTGAGTATCGATGGCCGTCAAGGCATTGTTTAGTAATATATTAGTGATTAGTCTGAGAAGTTCGAAAACGGACATGTGGACCACGGGTAAGGAGAATAGTAAAGTATTTTAAATGAGATTTTTCGGAAAAAGTCGATAATATTCGTGATAACAATATATAACAATAGATAAATAGATAACAATAGAAAGTTTACTAGTTGAATTTAAGTGTGGACATAAGAGCTCCAGATGGAATGGGAACAGTCCCTGACGGCATTAACAACGCCAAGATTGCCGTACATTCTGCAAAAGGGAAGTTGAGGCAATAAGTGAGACTAATAAAATATAAGGTCAAGTTGTTTAAATATTACGTTAACATTAAGATTACGAAAGAATTATGCGCCTCGTTGGTAGGAATTTGATGGCCATCGATAGAAACAATAGAGAAATAAAAAGAACATTGAACAAAGTTAATTAAGAAGGAATTCGAAATGAATAAATCCCTAAATGTCATAAGTCATAAGCCAAATTTGTGATTGTTCAATTTATTAGTAACAAAGATTGCTTAACAATAAATAAATTGTTCACCACCACACTCGTATGAGCTGTATTTTCAGGCCCGCGAAGCAAAATAGAACCATGAGAAGCGCTCTGTAGTAACAAGTATTCTGACACCCAGAAAATTAAATTAAAACCAGAACTAGCCACTCCATTAATTATAATATGAGAGAAAGAAAGTTTTACAAATAGAAATCATTTTGATTCACTTCAATGGTAGGCCCAATACGTAGCTGTAAAGTACAGTAAATAGTTTAAATCTAAATTAATAATATTCTAAAAATTATATTTAAAAGAAGAAATAGTTGATTCACTTCAATATAACACTTTAAAGGAATGATGTACATTATTTATAGTGTTATGAAAATTGAAGTTTTTCATCAATTGTTATTCAATGTTTTCAACCGTCCTACCAGAAGAACATCAGGATAATATATGGTCATTTAATACTTAGAGGAAACAATGTACACCGTTGGAACTTTTGGACATTTTAGAAACAAACTATGATGAAATACCAAAAAGTGGTGTGGATGAAACATTACACACTGAAGAAGAAAAACAAAAGAAAGAAAGAAAGAAAAGAAAAAAAACAACGTTGGGATATACCAGATACACGATACTGTTCCAATTTCCTTGTGTTGTTGCTATAGCCACAAATTCTGTCACAGTTCAACCATTGCGTTCTGTAGAAACATTTTTTAAAGGAAAAAAATTGGCGTACCTGTACCTAAACTATTGTATTTATACAAAGCTCATATGTGGGATATAGATCGATATAATCAAAACGTTTCCCTATATAGTTGTTCCACAAGGAGAAAAAGGGGTACATTCCATAGACACTGCAGAGCAAAATACCTGGGATCTTTACGATCACAATGACGACTCAGTATATCTGACATTTCAAGGTCAAATTGCCACTGCAATACCAGAACATAATAAAAGAGTGACTACTAATGCAGGGTACCATAAGATTTTCGGTTTGATGAAAGGAAACGTGTTGGTGAATTACCAACCGCCGAGAAAAAACAAAACAAGTAACTGAAATGTCCCTTATAATATGTCTAAAATGTGATGAACCCTTTATATTTGTGGCTACAGTAGCTTAAAACATGTTTAAAAGATTCTCTTGTTTATTTATTGCACTTAATTGTGGTTGTAACCACAAAACTCACTTTTATTTGAAAATATCGATGTCCAAACAAGTTACATTTTACAAGTCTTTATAGTCACAAAAATTTATCTTATTGTCATGATATCCTTCTGGAAGGACGCTTGTAAATACTAACGATACAAACACAAAATTGTATTTAGTTTCATCCAAATGAGCTTACAGAATATTAATATAACGTAACTAAATTTCAAAGAAAAAAAAATGGGATTATCTGAGTTAACACTCAGAACGCCAATGTGCCATTTCTATCCCATCCCATTTTTCATTTGCTTATATAAATTAGACATTTTACAAGTTCACTAGAACGAATGAAAGAAGCCTACATTACATCAGTAACATATCCCTGTTTCAGTTGTTCATCCCAACTGGTTTTCATAATTTTTTCGCCATTTTTCCTTTGCGTTTAGGACAGTTCTAGCACATTTTAAGAGCATTCTCTTGATCATTTTTGCGATGTTTTAGGTCATCAAAATCCACCCTCTAGTTATAATATACCGACGATCTAAAAATTATAACGCTAAAAAACAACTTCTATAAAACTGATACATTAACAAAGTAAGACAACTCTACAAATGAAATGCCAAACGCAAGAGAAGGAGCAGGCCTTAGTAATCAGGGGGCCGGCACCACCGCATACCAATAACTTTTTTTATCTGGTCTGTTTTGGGGCTGTGGCCCGCTTAGTGATACATTTAGAAAAGAAATCTACTAAGCGGCATGACTTCGGTCCCGCGTTGAGTTAAGTTGGAACACGAACACACACACCCATAATTTGTTTGTACGTTAATATTCTCGACAATGAGTACATTTGAGAGGCAATGTTTACATCGACGGTAAGATAAATAATATTACATGGAATTATGACATTCTTTTTATACAGCTTATATCACCAACATGTATTTTTGAACAGATTTTAGATATGAAAAAATAGCGTTTTTTAGCCGTTGCTCGCTTGGTAATTGGTTTTTAAAAAATGTTTATACAAAAGTTGTAGAAAATTGTATCCTCTATAAAAGTGACTTGAAATGTTTTCTCCACAATAAGATTAAAGAGTTATAGGAAAGGAAAAAAAACTAAGAAAAAACTTGAGACAGAAAAGTTATGACCTTTTAAACCCCTTTTTTAAGTACGCGCCGACTGGACGCTGGAGGAAATGTAGGTCTATATAAATTTTGCGACATAATTCAAAACGTATTTTCCAATTGTACGATTGAATTAGATTTTATCGTAGATTACAGAAGAAAAATACCTGTACTATTAAAAGATACAGAAATATTTGCTATATTTAACTTTTTTTTTATTTTTTTAATTTAGTCATTACTAAAACGTTTATGTCAGAGGCGGATGCCTATGCATAAATCCGTCTCTACCAGTTCACTTAAGTTTTAAAAATATTATTTTGCGGCGATACGTCATTTTGTACAACGAAAAACAATTTTAGAAATAAAAATCAGGTGTAAAACGCGAAATGGAACAATCTATTTTCTCAGAAGAGGGGGTAGATTCGTCATCGAGGAGTTCGTTCCTGCTCTGATAAGAACCGAGATCACTTCCACTATTGACAACATTCACTGATTGTTGATAAATTGAAACAATACATAACCTCTGAGCTGCGCAGCTACCATCCAAAATATAATTTTTCTAAATGTTTCATTTGTGGAGGTAGGGGGGGGGGACAATGCCCGTGATACTTTCAAAATTTCCTCAAAAATGGCTGCAAATATTTTACTCGATTGGAGGAAAGTACACTTATGATTATGGTATATTTTCGAACATGTCATATCATGTCCAATATGAAAGCAAGAATTTTAGTTCACAATGCAATTTATCGAGGTGGCGCTCCAGCCCATATTTCGCAGAGCGTGGTGTGGTATTCGATCACGATTCACTGTAATAGAACCTGTAAAAAATCTTACACTGGCCTGACTGAAGGAAATTCTGGGAATACTGTGGCTTGAAAAACCTTTAACGCATCACAACTATTATAAACTTCGTAGCTGATCCACCTCGTATCTAACACGATTTAAGACGTGAGATATGACGCTTTATTCCGCAATAAAATGAAAAAAAAAAAAAAAAAAGTCTGAAGCTAAATGTTTTTATTTTTCATATACTACTTACGTAGGAACTACTTACCAGTACACTACTTACATTGTATAGTAGAGACTTTTATAAAGCTGTGACAAAAACTGCGTATTTTGGGCAGGAAATCTTTTATTGTGGGAAATAACGAAAATGCAGATAAATCTAGTTCCTATTTGCAGTAAATTACTACCTCTAAAACACGTGCAGTCAAAATTCTCGTTTCATGGGTCCTTTTGACACTGAAAAAGTTGTTTACGGCAAAACGCCTGTCTGTGGTCAGCGCCTAAACAGTTCAGGCGGTTTTCTCCAAAATTGTTATTCTTCGGTTGATCTGTTTGAACTCTAATGCATGCGAATTTGACACGGGCATTTTCATTTTGGGAGGTACTGTACATATAACCTTTATATCAAAATGTCTCAAACATATCTCCAAATTTGTTGTTACTTTTTCCTCCGTTAGAGCGAATGATTCATAAAAATGACATACGTCACTTTTCCACTATACTTTGAATTTTTAAAAATTGGGACGGCAAATTTCTTCTCATTTCATAAAAGGCACGCGTATATGAAGCCACAACTTAGTAAGCAACAGTTATTGCAGAAATATGGAATTCTTCAAACTGGAATTGTAGACACCCTGCGTGTCTGCTTCAGGGTTAAATAGTCCTTCAGACTTCCATCTTTGAAATGTGCACTATTCTTCTACTCAACGTATCTCGATAATTCAGGAGCAAACATTTAACATACGAAACTTCCACTTCACAATTTGCAAATAAAAATGGGAAAATGTGTCACAAATTTTACATTTTTTAACGCCCTGTTTAACTCTACGAAAGCCCATTAAAAGACCTCTCGCGTTTTTTGTTGGAAATATAATTCTAGGTAAAAACAGTAGAATTCAAATTTTGCCATGTGGACATGTCGCCTTTTGAATGTATGCTAAATTGGTGATCCTCCTCATCGATGTCTATACACCCCTGAATTGAGGCAGATGCGATTCCATCATCAACTTGCATTGGCTCGGCCGCCCCACGGCATATCTTGATGCGCTAGTTCGCATTGACTTTTTGCGTTTCCCGCGCTGTTTCAAGAGAAACACTTCCCAACACCATTTGACTTCACTTTTTGACTATCGAACGCCACTGACAAACGCTGGAGTTGACATATAGATATTGAGTTCCCCTAATTTTTAAGTTAAATCCTACCAATAAAATCCATCATAACTCTACATGCATTCGATTGCAATATAATGAGAATCGTAGCTTCACTGAGGCAAAATGTATAACATGCGGAGAAACCCCTGCAGCACGCAACACAAGTCGGGACTTCCCAACAGGGTCCAACTAGAGCCCCAGGAGAGATAGACAATGATGAGATAGATCAAGTTGGAACACTAACACACACATACACATCCATAATTTGTTCGAGATATGATCAAGATTTCATTGACGATAATTGGGTGACTATTTTTTATGTAAAGTTTCAAAACATTCAACAATAAATTACACATTTATATCTGTTCTGGAGTATCACATGATTCCCATGTATTAAAATCGACCTTTTTTGTAATTAAGATTATGAGATTTTGTTTTTCAAAACTTGTTTATTTTCATAAAATAAAAGGTAATAGTATAAAAATAGTAATCAAAGAACATTTTTTCAAATTTATGTTTATATTCTTTCTCTATTTGTTTTGTTATCTTTAAGTAATTTACGTGTGATTATTAGTGTTACAAAGATGTTACTAGTTGTATATTATATACAAATAGATAGGAATCCTCATGAATAATTCTTTAAAAAAGTGTCAATGGTACCATTTTTTGTTCTCTCCCTTTATATTTCGTACCACTAAACACAAAGTTCTATTAATTAAACAAAATGAATTATCACTTACCTCTTAAAATAATCTAACTGGATACCATCTTCAAAGATACCCAACATTTAAATAGATTAAAACCAATTAAAGGGGTTGTAAAATTCAAAATATTTCAATGTATTAGGGTGAAAAATTGGATTTATGTCCATCTAATAGTTATATTATAGTTAGGAAGTCCTTCAATGTATTTCTATTGTGCCAAATTCTTATTAAAATTCAATTCTTTGCACAAACTGTTCAATGAATTCAATGAATTACTAATTCTCTTTATATTCCTTTCGGTTCCTATTTCTCCTCTTGTTCATTTTTTGAAGATATTGATGAGATGGAACGTGTGAGATTAAAGAATCTTTCTATATTTAGCACATTGGCTTTTCAGAACTTAAGTTAATTCTCCATTGTTATATCTAAATCTTACCTATCTAGTTGTTAGGGCAGGTTTGTTATAAAATAAAAATAAGCCAAATTTAATGAATGAAGTACTTGGAAAAGTCTGCACAGTAAATTAGTAAAAGCAAGAGAGACTCTTCAATAGAAGCAAAAGTAAATACAACTAATGAGAAATTATTTAGTTGCTAAGAACACTCACTACCACATTCAAAAAATGAAATGTTTTATGGCAGGTGCTGGAGTTGCACCTTGCATGCAAGGCAAAAACCTGTGCCTCTCAGTAACTTTTATATTATTTTTCATGTACAATCAAGTGAATAAGAGCACATCACTACTTTTGCCACAACTCTTTTCTCTGCACATTAAATGGGCTGAATACATTTGGACCTTCACAAGTTTATTCATCACTTTCCAATGCACTACTTTCTCACTATTCGAAGAACTACTTCATTTGCTGTTATTGCCTAAAGGCATTAAGCTGAGACAGGCATTTTGATAGTAAAATAACATCCCGCCCAAAAAAATTAGTTTAAACTTCCCAAGTATCTGTGGTGAGTGTTTTTTCTTTCTTTCTTTTTCTCCCTTTCTTCATTTTCTTTTCTTTTTCCTCTAATTTACAATCTAATCATTTATATTTTTCCTTTATATGTAGGCTTTTCCTTTTTTTTTTATTTCCCCTCCTCCCTCCCATAAATCTGCATACACTCTTCATACTGTGCCTCTGAATTCCACTCATCTCTAATTGAACATTATTGTTATTAGCCAATTATTGGCTTCCGAGGGGGAAGAAAGAATTATCAGTTATGTAATACTTATCATATACTAACATTTATCACATATACTTACATTTCCTAATTATATATGGTTCTTGAAAATGATAATATATAATATATTTTCCTTCATTACACTTCAAGAACTTCTAAAGTGTGACTAATTCCCTCAAATTCCCTATGTACCTCCACTAATGTTTTCTGCAACTTGGTTTAAATTGCCTCTGAGCTAAATTCAAATCGCCTGTTTCTCGCCCAAGAAATACCTCCTTTCTCCGCTAATTGGTGAAAGGAGCGTAGCGAAATTTGCGTGGTCAGACGGAAGAGCGGGCCTCATGGCCCGGGTCTCGCCACGTAAAATAAGGCCTTAATTCAATTCAATTATGATCAGGGGCCAGGTTTTCATAATTCCTTCACACATTAGAGACTGTGCCTTAATTTGCATATTCTTGATATAATAATATATTGATTTTGCATAATCTTTAATTGAACCATTAGGACAAAAACAGTCTGTTTGAGTATTTGTAAATCATTTTTGTCAGAGAATATTGGTCTATGTAGTCTTCTGTTGCTTGCAGAAATTTTGTATTTCAAACTACTCACCAGAGACACTGCTAGATCAGTTCTTAAGAAACAAAAATTGGTACATATCAGTTGGAACAAGCCTATGTCATTAGTCATCTATAGTGCACATTCGTATCCACAAAGAAATTTGCCCTTTAAAAGTTCCGTGAAGTGCAGTGTATTTCTGGAAATTTCTAAATTTTCTGATGATCACTAGCCACCAATGAGGTTCATTCAATCTCAAAAAATAAGACAAAAGGATTTGTCAAAGATTCTCTCTTACATAAACACCAAGTATCCTGAGTTTTATCAAGTATTACCAGAGCAGTGATTTTCATTGTTTAACAGCTGGATTTTATGACAATTTAGAGCATTCTTTTCTTAACTAATTCATTATCGTATTTGTTGGTTTCTTTTTATTTGTTTCATTCATTAAACATTGATGATATGCAATGATATATTTCTCGATTATACTACATAGAAATAAAATACTCTATATACTTAATGCCATCTATATGATTTGTAATTAAATCTAATAGTTATGATCATAAATGAAACATATCCATGATTATGCTACCAGTCTAGTACTATTCAAGAGAGGAAATAGCACTCTCACGTAGCATTTCTGCTTGTAAATGTAAAATTCATAAATTATAACAAACAACAGCCCAACGATTCAATTGCTCAATACTGTTTACCTTTTGTAACATGATTTGACAGTTTAAAAAAATTTCTATTCTCTTTTAGTCCACTCTTCCTTTCTTAGAATTTGAAAAATCACCTATTAACAATAACTTATGAATAAGATTGAGGTGCATAAAGTCAATGTAAAACAATTACCCAAATACTGCATTCTAAAAGTATTTTGTTTGCTGGTGGTGACAGTTTTACAAGTGTGAACTTTCAACAGTTTGGTTATCCAAAAACATTTTTAAGTCCAGTATAAACATTTACTTTTTTATTAACGATTTTAATTCAGTTATTCTAAAGGTACCTTTCTAGGCCATTTTTAAATTACTGGTTTTCAGAAACTTGTATGAAGGTCTCTATGGTAGTCTTGAGAATGACATATGATGGTATCTCTCGAAGGTAATTATGGTATCATTATATGAACAGTATAAACATTCCACACTTGTTTTAAGAGTGAAAACATCATACTGGAACCTAATTTCAAACACTTCTCACAACCAGTGCTTTGGAGTCAGGGTATTCTTTATAAATGTAGAAGAACGTTGAAAAGGGTCTCAGTTTGGATATAAAGTGCTAGTAGCCTATTATTTTAATAGGTGGTATGAAAGTTGTTTGAAACTGCTTCATAAAATGGTTTCGTGTGATGAGTGTAACAACACAGATACTTGGATTTTGCACATTGAGAGTAATAGGAAGTTAGGGTTAATTTTCACAAATAATTCATTTTCATTAGATATCATTTAAAGATGACCAGAATATTAATTCTCAACAGAATCAGAATATAAAAATCTTTGGTACCAAGGCCCTGAAGTTTAACAGACAACCTACAATCAATAAATATCAAGGAACCTGAGCTGTTCAATTCATGTTTCGCATTTCAACTAAAATTGCTGTATATCAACTTTTAATGCAAGAAAAGTCTGTGTACATAACAATTTTGAAATTTTGAAGTGTACTTTGCTTGTATTCTAGCAAAATAAATAATTTTCATGTAAACACACACCAACTGACAGAATGACAAAAACAACTTTAATTGTACTTAAACCACTTAACTTTAATTGTAATCTTCAGACTATCTGAAAATGGGGACAAATCATCTTTTAAATATTGTAATGTCTTCATTTAAATAAACAAATTTAATCAATAAATGGATGAATGTAGTTCCAGTAGTAGAGTTAGTTTTACACTTTCAATGTGGATACATTTTCAATTAGAAAATATAAATAATGCAATTCATTAATTATTTTATTGAGTTTTCATTAAATTATTTAAGTTCACACAAAATTTTAGAATTCAATATTGCATTTTATTGAAGATGTTATGTACCTCAAACAATTTATAAATTGAAAATTCACCACAGATTTAAACAGTACTTCAAAAGGAGTGAAAATATCTGATTAATTATTCAAGAACACATTCTTTTGAAATGAATATTCAATATTTAGTAAAGTCATTCTGGATAATGTGTAATCATAGACTTTGATGATAATAGAAATGTTATGTGAATACTGAGATAGACAAGATGGCTCCCCCCACTAGCAACATAACCTCACTTTCTGATAATGTTCATTCCATTGTGTCTGGAATTTCACCAATTTTTTCACTTGAAGCAAAATTCTATCAACCCATTCCAAAATACACAACTGACATTCTCAAATGGAGACAAAAAAATCATGAAATTGTTCATATATAAGGGAATATATATGAAGTAAAAATATAAAACAAAGTCTTCTTATGTGAAGTAGCTGATATTGATAGTGGAGTGAAGAAATAAATGTTGGCAACTTTTGCAAAATAAAAATCAATCAAATCTTGTGTGCTCTCTCCATATATCCATTTTCCTCATGCTTGTTTCCTAACATCTCTCATAACAATGATAAGTAATGCTACTAACTTTACTGGCAAATCACCTTTCCAATGCAGAACTCTTTGCAATTCCTCACTTTCAAACAAATTATGAAGTATGCTACTTTTGTTATAATATTGGAACACTGCACACAACTATTTTAATTTTCTTGAGCAACTATCATCACACTGCAAAACGTTTCTTACATTGATGTTTCACCTAATATCAAATCGGAGGTGTTCAATCATAATTTCAAGTACACACACAAGCTGGAAGATATAATGAAGAATAGTTTGTCATTTTGAAAATAAACTTTTGTCCCATCTTTATTCTAATTTTTTCTCCCCTTTTATATATCATTTGTCAGTTTCACTGAAATTTCAAACGTTAGTTTCAGTATCAAAGAGACAAGTTTATTTCCCAATTGTCAACACAACCTTATTTCACAACATTAACACATAAAACTGTCTTACAAAATGTAATTATAAAAATGAACTTAATGTTGTTAATTTAAAAAATATATTAATTCTATCAAATGTTAACCAACCACATTGTACAATAAATATCTCCATAACATTATAACCCTTTCTAGGGTAACATTTAAAATCACAGTAAATAGAAAATTAATTTTAAGAAGAAAACAGAATTCCTAAGAAAACATCACAACTAATGAAAAGATAAGTTAAAGGTTACATACCAAATCAGCGCCATACTGAAGGAGGAGGTCAGCAACATCAGTATGGCCATTCTCACAAGCGTATGTCAGAGCTGTGTCACCAGTTTGGGTCTGAGCGTGTACGTCTGCAGAGGCTTCTAGCAAATACCTAAAAGCAAAAGAATTTATTTTCACACTGCTATGTACATTTCAACAATTTCAATTATTTTAGTATTAGTTATTTAAGTTAAAAACAATTCTATATTATTTGAGTTTGTATAAACTAATGCAAGGCATTTTTTTCAGACTAAAGTGTATAAAGAAAAAACAACAACACTGACAAGCATTCAGCACTTGTTAGCAGATCTAATTTTAATAACAAAAGCAATGCTCACTTCACTAGCTCCAAGTGGCCCTCCTGTGCTGCTTCCATGAGGGGAGTCGAGGCTCCTAGCTCAATGTCTGCTCCAGCCTTGATGAGAAAATCAGCTACATCAGTAAAGCCCCCACAGCATGCCAACGTCAGGGCTGTCTCCTGCGTTTCCTCCGTTTGAGCATTGATGTTCGCTCCTGAGTACACACCAAAAACAACATAGCAATATTAAAACTTATCCTGAGAAAATGATTTAAGATCTACTGAAACTTTAACAGCAAGGCGTAATAAATTCCCAGAAATCATTTTCTTGAAATATACTGATGATTGCTTTTCAACATTTACCTTGACTCAGCAACAATGCAACCATTTCCTCATGGCCTTCACGAGCAGCTTCCATAAGTGGTGTGTAGCCCTCATCATTTACTTCCTCTATGTTAGCACCTCGCTCTATAAGCAGCATGGCCAGATCAACATGACCCCCACAGGCTGCAAGCGTGAGAGGAGACTCAAAGCTGTCTGTGGGCATGTTCACCTGGAACAATAACAATTTTTTACGCATTTCTTAAAATTCCTACAATATTCCTTGGATATTAAAGTAAACATCACCAAATAGAAAAATTATTCTTTAAATAGACTCTACTAATTCTTTTGTGCTACCTGCCTGCCAAAAAAAAAAACTTTGAATCCGAGAAGAACTGAAAAATAATTTGCAAATTAAGTCAATTAAAAATAGAAATGGGCAGTTTCCATAAGAAATCTGAAATTGTAAAACATACCTGAGCCCCAGAGTCCAACAATAATCGGGCAACCTCCACATGTCCATCCATGGAAGCCTCCATCAAAGCAGTGTGCATTTCATCCGTTTTGTGTTCCTAAAAAACAAAAAGTACTAAAGTTATAACAATATCACCTTCTTTGCTGCTGCTACACCCATCAAATTACCGGCAAAACATATACCTGATCTGCTCCAGCTTCCAGAAGGTACCGAACCATATCCAGGTGCCCTTTGTAACAGGCCAAGGTGAGTGCAGATTCTTTGAATTCATTGGAATGGGTGTTAATTCCAGCACCATGTTCCAACAGGATCTGAAGTCATGTAACACAAGAATGACAGCCTAACCAATATTTCACCAGCAATAAATTTCAGGTGAAAATATAATCACATTCACATAAATCTAGTTTATGTTATGACAATTTGGAATTGGACAAAATTAAAACGATGATAAACTTTAACAAATAAAATTAATTATATACCACCTTAAAAGCCAACTTCTTGAAACTCAAGAGAATCGAGCATTAAATATTTTAATTTCCAAAAGATCAATATATTAATCAAATACTATTGTCATAACATGTGAAAAATCACTTTTTTTTTTGCTATATAATATAGTAAATATTACAATACATAAGCAGATTCATACAAATTTGCCTACACATTCCATTATGTGACATAATTGTGATGACTGTCAATTATATTCCGACATGTATTTCAACAATACCTTAGCAACTCCCACATGCCCTGCACTAGCAGCCTCCATTAAAGGGGTGTGGCCATTTTCATTATGATCTTCCACATTTGCACCTGCCTCCAGTAAGGTCTTCACTACATCTTCATGGCCACCCGCACAAGCATACATGAGAGGGGTGTTGCCTAGAAATATTTAAATATAATGCCATGCACAATTTACACACATATGAAGGGAACCCCTGTCTCAAAAGCATAAAACATAACATACAAAGAAATAACGTTTTCATCTTTCTTTATAAGAAGAGTACTTAATGTGAAAGATTTGCAATTTAGTATGAGACTAAGTTGATAAGTATAGATAAAAATTCTTGGAAGCAACAAATAAGTGTTGTAACCAAATTGTGCATTTGTAGCCACAGAACCATTATCTTATGAGAGAAACTTTTAAAGAAAGGGTTACAATAGTGAAACTCACCATAAGAAGACTGAGCATTTAACTCACCAGAAGACGACTGAGCATTCACATCAGCACCATGGGCAATTAGGAGGCGAACTATGTCCACATGACCAGCAGAGGCTGCCTCCATAAGTGGAGTACAGTCACCTTTGATACCTCGGTCTTCCACATTTGCATGCATGGCTAGCAACACCTACAAATTCATCGCAAGTGTCACAAACAATTCATTACAGCTCTTTCACTTGCAGCATAGTTAAGCAAGGTATACTTTTAACATTCTTTTTAAAAAAACAAGTAGCCGTCTGTAGTACAAACCCCGGAAACAAAATTGGAAACAAATATCTAACTAAATATCCATAAAATACACTAAACTGAAAATCCAGGTGACCATCCTGCTTACCTGGGCTAACTCGTAGTACCCTGCTGAGCAGGCCAGGGAAAGAAGGCTCTCCCCCTCCTCCGTTGTTTCGTGCACGCTTCTTCCCTCTGTGAGTAGTTTGCGAACTGTCCCTACGTCTCCGTCTGTGCACGCCTCAACCAATGATCTGTAAGAAAGAAAACTTTCAATGAATAATGTGATTAGAAGTTCAGCAGCCAGCTTGTTTAGACCATTTTTTTTTTTCTTTGTATAGCAATTGCAGGTTATTAACATTGTAAATTATTACTTTCACCTAAGAGCTGCTCACTAAGTGCTTCTATAAGAACTTGAAAACAAGGTTCAAGGGAGCAATGCCTTCGTTTTTTAAATTGATGTTTAATTAAAATGGTATTTCTTTGAAAACAAAGCATCAACAAACAAAACAAGAAGAAGAGGTTTATTTCTTCTACAAATAAAAAAACTTAAGTGCTTCTTAACACAATGCTTTTAAACAATACCTACAATTTTTAGGCAGAATGAAACTGATCAGAATGCAGCATATTTTACATATTAAGCAAATAAAATATAGTTTTAAAGTTCAATTCTTGCCTTATTTCTCATACATTCGTAAATTTTATGACAAACTACAGAATTTAAGAAAACTATTTAACATTCTTTTACTTATAATACAGCCAACACATTATTATTTATACATTCAATAAATAGCAAAATCCATAATAACAAAGTTTGTGTCATAACGTTCCCAATGATGCAAAAGCATTATAAGAAATTGGCTTCAAAAAAAAGGACTACAGAATTGCAAGAAATTGCTCATGGCATCATAATTGTTCACAAAATTTTTCCATCAGGATAAGAATTCTCAGTGAATAGTAAGAAAAATATTCTTGAAATTATCAAGTTTTATTATATTTAGTACCTGACTGACCAAAAATGTTTCGTTTCTTAGTCACCTTTTCTAACTCAGTTCACTGAGAAACAAACAAATCAATAATCAGCACCACAAAATTTTAATTACCGAGTTTCAGGTTGAGGCCGCGGATTTTCACTTCGCATGCGAGTGAGGGCAGCAGCAGCCTCATCTAACGCACAGGAAACACTGGATGTTAATCGTCTCAACACCTCAGGGTCAGCAAGATGCTTCCCGTCACCTGTCGAGAGCTTCCCAATACCTACAGAAATAGAGAAAAATTATATGTTGGAAGAGAGCCCAAGGGCAAAACGAACTTCTCCTGGATTCTTCTGGATGCATCCAATCCTGTCTATTGATGAGAACTGCAGCTGTCAGAAAAATAGAACTAACAAATCAAATATTTAATTACTCCCTGCAACCATTAACTTACATGCATCATTTTCAAGTATAAAATGATTTATATATAGCATTTTAGTTTTCTTGTTTAGCATTTCCAGATCTGATTTTAATGCAACAGAACATGATAGCTTCTTTCCTATTGGAAGTGCATTAAAATTTCTTAAACATATTTATGAACTATGAATTTTAATTACCTAAACTATTGTAATTTGAATATTACTCATATAATCACCCAGCTATCAAGTAACACAATTAATATTTTGAACAAGAGTATTGTAAAAGATGCAACATCTACTGAATTTGATTTCTAAAGCAGCACATTCTCCAAGAGAAAATGGTTATTGATTACTTAGGATCATTAGAAAAAAAATTAAATCAGAATAATTCAGTCTCTTGAACTAGCAGTTTGTTTCACAGATAAAAAGCCCATCGTGAAGAATGGACAAGAAAGCATTTTTTGGGTTAATTTACTACAATGGAACTTTCCAAGAAACCATAAAATAGAATAATCCTTACTGCCCTCTTCATTCAAGACCCTCATTACATACAAAAAAGGAAGTTAACTTACAACACAATCTTTAAAGGGAGTCTGTGATCAGTTCCCCACAATTGTGTTTTCAAATAACACATTAGTTATCCCGCTCAAATGTGCATGTACTCATACATACACACCCCCAAATGTATGCATGTACCTGCTGCCTCCAAGAGAGCTTCCAGCCGGGCCTGCGTCTCAGGATCAACCGAGTGGTCAGTGTCCTCTGGAGAGAGCAGGAACTTGGATGTTTCCAGGCGCGACTCCTCGTCCAACTCAGCCTGGTCAATCACAAAGGATTCAACCTGTGAATGTAAATTCTGTTACTCCCCCCACTCTGATAAAACCTGAATATCCAAATTCTTTCCACTTGCTTCTTAAGATTAGGGAACAAAAGAACTTTTCTTCAACTGAACTTCAAATGCATGTGGTTGACACTAGTGATCTAAGAAATTCATGAACACCAATAGCAGGCTCTATTGGAATGAAAGTAATTGAAGGCAACCATTGCCAATGCAAAGTAAAGTTTCCACAAGAAATTATACCTATTCCAACTAAAAATATCTCTGCATTACAAAACAAGATGTTGACTGTCATGTATTACCATTAAATTAATCCTTCAAATTGTGTGCAATCTTTACAAGTATCATACAACATTAAAAATTAAAAGCTTGAATTGAAGAACAATAATCTATTTTCAGTACCCAAGACATTCCTAATAATATATACTTTACCACTTCTTTGTAGTCATTTTACTCTAAAAAGTTTACAAATGTACAAACACACTGACACTTCTTTAATATTTCAATACATTATTAATCACAAAGAACAAGAAAACAGCATGTTTTATAAGAATTTCATCACAGTACAAAAATAAATTCAATTCAATTTGAAGAAAGTAATTGAAATATAAATATTTTGTTTACAGCATTTTTCTTTAAAACTTTTGTTTCTTTCAAATATAAGCAATGTTTACCTCAGCAGAACATTCAACAATATCACTTTAATTACTGATTACCTTACTTAAGTTTTTTATGTGCATGTTTTAACCCAAGATTAAAACAGATTAGTAGTCATGAATTTTAAAGGTTACAAGAAAACTCTATTGGCTGAAAAATGATATTGGCTAAGAATGCTCAGTTTACAACCCAGATTTCCATCCGCAGTTTGTGACCCTATCAATAAATTACAGTAAACGTATCGCATTAATTCATTCTAAAGATTGAAAATAATGTGTCTGACATTTTCTTCTGAACTCTGTTAATGAAGTTAAGAGTTCATTAATCTGAGTCAATACATCCTTCATATGCTTGATGGAATGGAATTGCATGGCTCAGTTTTACACTAATTCACAAACCCATACTAGCAGGGAAATTCAATCTACAAGTGTTTTCAAATGTCATAAAGGTAACACTTCACTAAATCCCTCACCTATCTTGGCAGAGGGAATTACCATATGCACATTATAAATGAATCCATCAAAATCAACAATATATCACTGTTGTCTAACATTTACTATCTTACATGAAGACTAAAATAATCAAAAGAATAGTTACAACACAATGAATTGCACATTGTTTCTGAATAGGAACTAACCATTTCTGAGATTAAGTTTCGAGTTTCTGCTAATCAACAACTAAACATCTTTGCAGCATCCATGGAAAACAAAATATGAGAGTGTAACCAGGGTATGTACAGTGGAAAGGAAACATGATTCATCCATTCTCTGTTATACATCAAACAAAGAACAAACAAAAACATTTCTAATATGTGGGATTATTCTTGCATGAAACTACACTCAAACTTGATATAAATACAATAGTAAACAAAATCTCACTACTAATCAAAGATGTTTAAGTAGAAAAAAAGAAAATGAATCAATACTGTCATTGTCAATCTCAAATGACGATATTTTTCTCGCTTTTAGAACTCAACACGTCACGAATTAAGCAATTATTTTCTCCCAATATTGTAAAAGATTTCTATTGTAATTTAATGGAAAGATTCAGATTTTAATGAAACATTTTGCAGACGTATGTACAACCTATTTTACAGTAAAACAATTAAATGAATAGATTTCTCGTCAGGTAATGTTCCAATGACATAAACTGTCACTATTAAATAGCCTATTTGCAAAAAAAAGTACTCTTAGTGGAAAAAGATCTATGTACAAAATGATTCGCTTATAGAACAAAATTATTTACAAAGCATGACACTTTCCTCCATGATTAGTAAGTGTATCACTCAGGGGATGTGCATTATTAATTTCGAGCTATGTTATAAATTGGCAAAAAAGAACATTCAAGAAGTCAGCCAATTCAATAGTTGGCACTTTTACTCCGTCCAACACACTAACCACGACCATGGCTCCGTCATACGTATTTCACGCGCACTATGACATCATTACCGTAAAATAATATATAATGGCAAATCACGATTATTTTGGGGCGAGTGGTTATTATTTTTAATGCTGCTTATATCTCAAAACCGTCAGCACGTCTACATTGTCTCTTGGACATTACTATGCCACAAGATGTCTCTCGGCGAAGTTCATTGAAACCTTGGTTTCGTAAAGGCCACCAGAATTCTCACATATTATAAAAGTTGTGCTCTTATTACCTCAGAAACGTCGTCCTCCTCACTTTCTGATGAATCGGTCATAAATCTTGGTTGCAGCTCCGAATAGGTCTCTGTTTCAGACTTGGTCGGGCTTGAGTTGGAAGATATGGGAGTCGACGATTTCCCTATATCGTGGTGAACATTCACTTTTTCAAGTTTTTGATTATCTGAAGAGGATCCTTGTGCTACATTCTGCATTTTTACCTTTACTAGTTTCTAAACGACATCAAACAGCGCTGTTAAACTTAGAGAATACACAACATACACTATTTCTTGACAATATTTCTATTACAATTACCGTCATTCACGCAAGTTAATACCCGCCATGTCTACTATGGAGAGGTTCCCGGATGCTTGAACTACGCAGAGGACAGCTGCCATCTTTTGGCAAATGAGTGAACTAAGTTCTCGAGCGAGCGTGAATGGACTTGACATCTGCAGACGAAAATGTGAACCTCGCATTTCCTGTATGTTTTTGCTAGAAAAATCTGCGCTCAGTCTCATTTTCCTTCCTCTGTGGAGAATTGTGAAAAAAAATACGAGCCTTCGTGGAAATCGCGTCAATTCTATATTCTGAAAACAAATATATTTTTCAAACTCATAATAGTGAGGATCAGGAAGTACCAGTGCACGAGAACAATTATTTCTGGGTGACATATCCTCAGAATATTTTATTCGATTTCTATGTTACAACATTCATTCGTAGTCATTGCTCATGGTTTTCCTTGTTCGTGTAATATTGAGCACTTTTTATACTGATACATCCATAAAGTTGTGAGATTAATAAAATGGTGCAAGAAAAATGTGACATTTACCGTCAATTTTCTAAAGCATTAAATTTGTTTCACAACAGTGAACTTGAATAAAATACTTAATTTCATATAATCAATTACTCACTTGACAATTGTTTCAATTCAAGTACATCTACGATTCGAAAATTTTATTTTTGACTGTAATGTAAATTAAACGACTGATAAATAATTTTCTTATTTCTGCTGTTTGACTATTCCTGTCTTCTGTCGTTATATGTTAACAAATATTAAGATTGTTAACGGTGAACAGAACGGGAAATGTTGAGTGGATCGATGAGCAGACCTCATAAAAAAATAAAATGCGAAGAAGGCAGATTCGACTTCTGGCAAAATGCACGAAATGGCCTCCGCCAATGCCTTCCAAAGCAGGACTAGCATTGCAAGGATCGCGACGACGGCCAGTTCCTACTCGGGGTAGGGAAAATTCCCACGCCCAGACACCAATCACAAAAGCACGTCATCTGCCCAGTACCGCCGTGGAGCGCGGCTTTCTTTTCTTCGCGGCGCGGGGCGGCGCACGAGAGCGTCTTGCTTTTCGTGATGTCGGGGGCGAGGGCGGGGGCGGGGCCGGCCCCTCCCGCGAGCGGGCAGCGACCGGGCGCGCGCCGGCGCGGCGCCGCCGCAGTGTCACGCAGCGTTATGGCACGGGACAGGTGGGTGTGCCAGAGCGCCCGCGCGCGCCACTCAATATCGCCCGGCGTCACTGCACACACGACCCTTCCGCCACCGGCGGGCTTCGAGCGCCGCTCCGCAAAAACCGCTAGCCCAGGCACGCCGCTGCACTCGCCCGTTTCCGATACCGCTCTAATCTACGCGCCCGTAAAAGAATCGTACGGCCTGCTTGCGAGGCAACGTAGCGATCGTTCGTTGGCGCGTCCGTATTGCCCGCGCCGACGAGTACCGAAAAAAATGTAGTGCAGACGTCAGTACCAGCGCGTCGAAAGCCTTTCGATCGATAGCCGCAGCGCGCCGCCGCTGTGAGGAAGGGAGGGGCGGCGCAGTGCGGAGAGGCGAGGCGCACCCCGCCCCGCCTCGGCCCCGCGTGTCATGCTCTCGCTCTGCGGCCGGGCGGGGCGGACGCCAGTCCTCATCGTCAGCAGGTGCCCCATGCCAATTCCCTCGCCCGCCTTATCACTGCCGGGGTCCACAGCGTGCGCTTACGAGACGGCAGGGATGCGCGCAGATGTGGGTCAAGGAAGTGGAACAGTCCACGCCAATCGCGCGTTCAATACTTTTCGCGCTGCACTCTTCGTGCTCATTGGGTTTGTCCGAGAGGGGTTCGTTGCTCTTGCGACGGAGGTCCAGAGATAGGATAAGGCTGTTGGGCATCACGAAAAAATATCTCTAATGACAGGGCTTATTGCGATCCGGATATCACCGGACGAAAAACGAAGAGGTTTGAGATTATTCTGGGCGTTTGTCCCCTCCCGTACCCAGAAAATTCGCAATGCATAAATCACACTTTTTCTTTAGGTCCAATGTACCTCCAAAACACAATTCCGCTAAAGTTTCATTTCAATCATGAACGTGTTGAATTTTGAATCTGTCAGGATCATATCATCCCATCTTTATCTCGCTTACTCGTATGTGAAATCCTCGTTCTTTACACTTTCGGCATATGGTCTTTGCGAAAATCTACAAACGCTTTTAGTCGAACGTACGCCCAATTAAACGGAACATTTATGACATAACAATTAAGTACAATTTAGTATAACAGAATGAAACTAACGGCGTTATCAATTCTAATTTATGTGTCTTTATTGATTGTATACCTCAAAATGGGCTGCAGATCCTTTGCGACAAGTAAATTGAAATAATGTTTTCGAAACTGCAACTCATCAGCAGGTACATTCGATGTATTTTATTAGTCGTCGCAAACAACAAAAAACAGAACCTTTCGCAAAGAACAATGCCGTGAACCAAATTATACCGCCAATACGTTTTTATGCACCGGTTCTCAATAAATATCAGCCCCGCTAACAGACAGTGCACCGCCTTCTTCGCAGCCATGATCACTAAATTCAATCCACTCTGTGGTGTTATTATATGTATGGGAAAATGGATTATGAACCACTACGAAAAGGTCACAAGCTGATTAAAAAATATTCAACAATCAGAAAAAATTAAAATAATAAAAGGACAAGGAATATTTATTTTCTGAAAACGTACCATAACTTTCATAATTCAATAAAAATGTATAAGTTTTTCTCACCAAAGAACCGCACAACTTCCTCTAAATCTGTTATCTTTTAAGATGGACCAGCATCCCAAAACATTAATGGGATCTTCCAAACTAGTGGGAGGAAACTATCCTTCTCTCGGCACCGCCCTTGGGCTCAGCTCCTCTGCTCGAAGGGTCGCGGATTCCCTTTTTCCAACGAAAATTAATGCCGTTTTATGATATTTTGGTATGAGAAGGATCTAGTGCTGAGGGTACGTATAGTGTAAAATACTGTCGAGGTTATATATGTTGGAGTAGGAGGGCACTGATTGAGGACCGCTGATGTTAAGAGGGCATCCGATTCTCTCGAAAATAAGCCTTTGCAAAAATAAAAACCGAACGTTACGTAACGAGAATGACTTCAGAAGTATCTCAGGATAATTATCCTGTAAAAAAAAGTATCTTATAATATATTAAAATTTTCAATAAAAATAAAACTTTTATTTTTAGCTCATAGTTACAGCCTGTGAAAGGAACTATAGTATGATAGTGTACCTCGGAGAAGTACACAAATTGCTTGCCTTCATTGTCCTCTGATCTTAAATTCGCGGGCGGATCGTACTCCCTAGAGTTTGATATCTCCTGCCCGAAAAGCAGGATGCGTACTAATTGAATCCACGTCTAGATGGATTTATGTTTAAAACGCTGAAATATACAAATCAAGGCTGTATGAAAAGAAAACTTTCCTCAAAACATTCTCAGTATTTATTCCTACTGTGCTGCCTAAGCGAAGGTCTTGGTTTCACTCAATTCATTGATGTTAAAAGACAAAATTACCCATTCGCAACCTGGAATGTGACGACTTAAAAAAATGTTCCTTAAGCAGAAACAACACAACCGACTTAACTACAACTTACAACACAATTCTAACAAAATTAATATTAATTAAAAACATGGAAAAAATGTGTTCGGTTCGCAGCAGTAGTTCACTGTGAATATACAAAAAGGGGCACATATTACCAATTCAATTCTCTCCTTATTGGTCATCGATGGTTTCAAAAAATTAAATTAAATTGAAGATGAGATACTACTGCCTAGATGTGCACTTTGCACGAAAAATTCGCCGCCTGACCTATTTCCAATGAAAGGTTCTTCAGCAAAACATTTGCCTTCAAGCAAGAGAAGCAAAACAGAAGCACAACCCGTTGACGTGTTATTCTCGAGCGCGCTGAAACGTAAAATATGCCCAACATAACACTTTCAAATGTTAATATATTTTTTATTTCAATCTATGAGGCCATCAGATGTTGGCGTTGGTCGCAATAATAAAATCCTCCTACCACATCTCGTCGATTTGTAGTGTAATAGATTGCACAAGACATACACAATTACAGACCACAAGAGATGACCTAACACTTTTTGAGAGTTGAGCTTCCAATGATGGACATTGATTTATTTCAGCAAACAATACTATTAATAATGAAAAATAATGTTAAGGGTCTCATTCCCTTTGGCATTTCCCCAGATATGTAGTCGTAGTTGATGCTGCATTATAAAGAATATACACTTGTGGGGTCTTTAATAAGCCGCCTGATAATACACTGAAGGAACCTTCTCTTCTGGGAGCATTTGGATTATGTGCTACTTCAACAGAAGTGAGTTTTTTTTTATTTACACCTTACATTGTAGACCCATTCAACATATATATTTGTAAAACAGTGCAAGTCATCAGCAATGCTACATTCAACTAGTTTGGATGTGATTAAATAGGAATCATAATTGATAATGTTAATATTTGCATTCAAACTTGTGTTACAGCTTCTGGATCAAGATTTCTTGGAAACAAATCAACTGGCCCAACAAAAGTAGAATAATTTGACAAAAAGAGAAAGATCATAATTTATAATTTATCTACCTTTTAAATTTAGTTTGTTTGCTTATAAAAATATATGCATTTTTAAGTATTTTTAATTTAATGCATTTCCACTTGAATTTAAAATCTTTTAACTCAAAATAATTTGAAATACTTTAAGAAATATTTGTTGATCAAACAAATATTTGTTTCTCACTCTCAAAATGTCCAATATTTTATTCATTAATAAAACACACAAGAATAGGTCTGCAACACGTTAGTGCTCTATTACAGAATTACTTTTCTCATACATTGACAAATTAATAAACTGAAAAATAACTATATCTATAGGCAGTCAGCAAATGGGGTACGTCCAAGTCTGTTACTAAAGCAGGTGTGATGTTATGAAAGGTTAAGGAGATTTAACATTTTATTTCTGAAAAATTACCTAAAAACATATACAGTGCACCAGGAAAGTCTCTCTACACCAAGCCCAATTGGGGCCTCGTGTGTGTGAGTGTGTGTGTGTGTGTATATGATAGGACAAGGAATAGGAAAGAAACATTTGATACCTGGCATGACTCCGGCTGTGGAAACCTACACAGGAAGGAATGATTGCATGTAGTCCATTGCCCATTTCGTAGGGTACTCAAGCATTCCCCTGGCAACAATTAAAGAAGCTATGTGGAAATATTGATCAGAGCAGGTAGCAGAAAGGGAATTCTCCTCCAGGCAGCAGCTGATTTGACCCATCTTTATTGATAGTGTCAAAGATCTTCCCTCTGTTGAGATAGGTGGCAGAATGGAAAAAAAATTTTTTACAATCTCTCTTTAGAATAATAAACTAAAATGGATGTAGACTAAATATAAAGTATTGATGTTTTTTATGCTAAATTTCTATTTTTCTATAAGTTTAGATCTCCCCTCTAGAAAATGTTACATAACAGACAATTACATAACACAGGATACATATACAAATGGCACCTCATTCTGGGTTATTTCAAAAGTTGTAAGAGTGTTTCAAATATACACCATCTTTGGGATATCTTACTTCACAGTCCAACAATATTATCTAGAATACCAGGTGCTCCAATTTCCTTCACACATCTTCAGAAAAATCTGTTGAACCTAATGAATCTTTTCTGGGAGAAGGAACAGGTGGCAAAAGGGAGTTTATGAAATCTTTAAGGGTACAATATCGTTATTACATAGTAGAATAATTGCACTTAATTTTCCACAAAAATCAGAAAACATTTTGAAATGAGTGTCAAATGTTCAACAATTTCTCAATGATTTAATTTCTTGTCCAGCAAAAATTTCTTGCTAGGGTTTGCATCACATACAACTGTATCTATAGTTATTTTTAAGAATTTTTTTTCCAGATATTTAACATCTTTTTCTTTTTCAGGGATATTTCAGATTTACTGTAGGAATTTTCAACAAATGGAGTAGTAGTTAAAATGTTTACTCTTAATGTAATCAAAATTATGTATCACTCTCATAGTCAAATAACAATTACTGATCACTGTAAAGCTTCAAAATTCAAATAATTTTGTGGAGTACTCCATGTATACTTTCTTATCTCAACCAAATTAATAAACTGCCATTGGTTTCCTCAAGTCAATGCTAAGATAATGTGAACTGTCTTACCACAGTTATCCTCAAAGAAAAGCAACAAACTGGTATTTATATATGTAGTACCTCTCTTCACAAAACAATCTGTCTCTGAAGGCAAGATTTATTTTTCTGTCCTACATCTTGTTAACACTACAGAAGACTAAATGAACTGAATATTTTAGCATAAAATGATTTTTAAATTGCATTCCTTCTCCTTAGTCCTTCTAAGTAATTTTTTTTCACTTTAATTTGCATATATGGTTAGTTTGCTCTTATAATTTACTTTCAATTGTCTTCTATAAAATTGTTGACATATTTCTGATTATCCCATTATTTATGCAACGGACTAACACCAAAAAATATGACACATATTTACATTTTCAGCAAAACTCAATTTTTACGCACATAATGAAAACTACCTCTCCAAACTCCAATGGCTTCCATGGTGCAAGAGCATATTGGATTGTTATAACTAAGCCAGTTCAAATTCAATCAAAGCTGTGAATTTTCACAGGCAACAAATCCTTTAGAGGGTAAGTAAAGCCAGCTGTCCCATGTTGTGGATTTACTGCCCATAAAAATGCAAGTCTAAAAGAAGTCCCCAAGCTAAATTTTAATTGCCTGTCATTATCAGAGTGATGCCTTCTTTCACAGCTTGATGGGAAAAGAAGTGAAAGGGAAGAGCTGGCCGGAGTATTGCCATGTAAAATTCAGCATCATTGAACTCAAGGCCATACAACTTGGTATTAAAGCCGAGAATTATTGTGACTGGATCTCTTGATCCGGCCAGAAATACATGGGAAAGATTACTTCACACTCAAAGGATCACCTCTAAAATATAAAAGGTTGAAGAATGTAATAGAATGATGAACTTTCTGTTTAAAATTAAAAATTAAATTACAGAACTAATAGAATGGGTTTTCTTCTTAATTTTGATAAGTGCATTACATTCTAAAAGAGGAAGCTCATCTACAACAAATATGGAATTTCCGGCATATGAATGCTTTTCATCACATAATGATACAACGTACACGAAGTATCTACGTATCACTATCATTCTACCTTTACGCTCAAACTTAATACATTAATGACAAAGTAAAATCCATATGCCACATTTGTTGTTTGAGAAATAATGTGTAATAAAAGAAAAATCATTTCTTTCAAATAACCTAAATAATAAACTAATTCCATTATGTCAAAAATTTTTGCATTCAATATCTTTACGATTTTGGTAATTACGTTATTATCTTGATTGAGAGTGTATAAAAGGTTTAATAGTATATAAGAAATTTCACATTATAGGTGAAAATTTTAAATGCTGGTAGACCACAATGATGGAAGGAAACTTGTTGAAAAACAATACCTAGTTTTTACATACCTGTCACAAACTGCTACATCTTGAATATGGACATAATATATCTGTGAAATTAAATAATCAAACTCCAAATATCACAATCAAAGCCAATAGTCATTTTCTTGTTCATAATTCTTGTATTATTAAAATGCAAGAAAAATCTTTGGATAAATACTTTACATTCCAATTTGGCTATAAAAATATTTCTAAATCAATTTCAAAAGCAGATACAGGGTAGTTTAACTCAAATTTTTCAATAACATCAGGATGAAGAATACCAATTTTACCAATTACTTTGCCATAACAAATTACTTCAGCACAACGACGAGGGAAGTAAGCAGTGTCTGAAAAACAAAAATACATTGAAACTGTTACAAAATTCCAAAGTTAAAGAAGACAAACAAATAAGGTGACTTGAAAAGGAATTTAAGATCCAAATTTCTCATAATATATTTAATAAGTCCAAGTTAAGAAATGAATATTTAAAAGAGCAAGACAATTTCTAATATGTCTGAGTTATTGTTTTCATGATAACTGAAGCAGATTACAAAGAGAAAAACAATAAAATTCTTTAAGAATGATACTTGTGAATTTGTTTAAAGGGAAACAACAACACTTTATTTTTTATTTCAGTCACTATCAGAGCATTCTGATATACATTTGTATTTTCAAGCATTTTAACTACTTTCTTGGACATTTTAGTACCCGCATTACATAATATTAGGATTAAAAAATATTTTTATGTTGTTTTACATAATTTTTTATTTGTAATACAATATTTTTTATGAAAGCAACCATTACAAATCTCCAACGTTGTATGTAGAACATAATGGTTCTTACCACTATTAAATCTTATGAAAGTAGTACACTGAATACATTTTGAGAGAAGGGAACATAAAAATAATCAATTTAACATGGGCAAAATAGGTCTTATGGACTTTCCTTAAAAGGTATTAAAATTCAGTTGTGATTGTAGGTATATTCACTTCCATCTTGAACATATATTAATTAGTATGAAAACTTTTAATATCCAAGTAAGAGAGGTTAAGTAATGCTTGAAAAGTTACTCCTGGACCAAGTTTACTTTTTCTTCTCAAAGGTTCTGTCAGTTACATCAAATTGAACTGAAAAACTGGTGTATAGTGAAAATACTTTAAGCCTATTAAGATGTTAAAAACATAGTCCTCATTCTGTTTCTTGCAGAAGAACTAAATTTCAATGAAGATATTAGTAATGCAATCTACCAGTTAGAATTACACAAAATTAACTTCATAATTACCAAATTAACAAAAACCTTACCAGCAGCATCCCTCAACCAGTAACCAGATACTTCTTCTTTATAAGACCGTGAAACATTCAAAATGAGCATCACTCGGTCTAAAAGACCATGCACAATCTCAAATCCAGATTTCTTTCCACAATGAACAGCACAAACATTTCTAATATTTCTGGCGCCTATTTCTGAAAAAAATATAATGCATCAGAAGAAAACTATCGTAATACTAATATAAACTTCTATGGCAATTCTGAGGATATCATTTCATAAATGGCTCACCGGTATTTTCATCAGCATAAACTACATCAGAAATTTCGAAGAGCTTTAAAGGAAGAGGCATTTTTTTATTGGCAGCCAAAGTACGTAGCAGTCCAGGAAGAAGTGTGGTGCGAGCCACTTGAAAATCTAGTGTTTTAGGATTGGAGATATGAACAGCTGGGATGTCTTCAATTCTTTTACCTAATTTTGCTGCCACATCATCTCGAGAACACTAACAATTGAAACAAAAGAGCACATTCATGATAAATTAGGCAATTCTATTCAAAAAGTAATAATTTCATTTATAATTATTCAGTTAACATGTACCTGCACCCACAAAAAGATTGTGGCTCTTCATGACATTAACAAAATACAAGGACACAAGGGAACCCCCCCCCCCCCTTCATATTCTTTTTTTCCCTTTCTTAAAATTAAATGATACTTATACATACATAATTTTGTATTTAATGTATTACAAGAGAAATCTGACAGGCATTTACTTAAAGAAAGTTAATATGATGTAATATATATTTAAATGTAAAAATTAGGTAATGTACTAAAAATTCCATTTTTATTTAAGCGTCAAAAGAGGAAATTTCAATATTTTAGGTCGAGAAATTTCATTCATTTCAGATGAAAACTGAGGACAATACAATTATGTGAATGCGTTAAATTAAATTTTAAAAAATTTTTAAAAAATCAAATTAGACATTTTTTAAAGCAATAGCTATATAAATATCAATATAATCATTATGATTTCACATAAATGGTTGATAAAAATGGGGAATGCTTGTGCTGTGTGTAACCAAATTACAACTTTAACATGTGAAACAAATCTTAAACACACATTAAATTTAATTACCGATGACTTCCTCTACTTTTTGAGAGGCTATCTTTCCCAAATTTTATCAGTGGGTGGTTAGAAAAAGAGGAGAGAGGGGGAGGGAAAGAGGGGGGAGGGAGGAAGACGCACCCTCTCTCAGCCCTCTCCCTCTCCACCCTACTCCCTCTTCCCCTCTCCCTCTCACGCCTCTCCCTCCCTCACCCTCTCCCTCTCTCACTCTCCCTCTCTCACACTCTCCCTCTCTCACACTCGCCCCTCTTCATCACTCTCCCTCTCCTCACACTCTCCCTCTCTCACACTCTCTCCTCTCTCACACTCACCCTCTCTCTCCTCTCTCTCCCTCTCTCACCCTCTCTCACCCCTCTCACACCCTCTCTCCCTCTCTCACCCCTCTCACCCTCTCTCACCCCTCACCCTCTCTCACCCTCACTCCTCTCTCACCCTCTCCCTCACCCTCCGTCACCCTCGCCCTCTCTCCCCTGCTTCCCTCCCTCTCCCTCTCTGCACGCCCTCTCCCCTCTCCTCTCACGCTCTCTCCCTCTTTTCCCCTCTCCCTTCTGCTTCACCCTTCCCTCTCCACCCTCTCTCCTCTACTCCGTCCTCTCCTCTCTCTACACTCCCTCTCTCCTCATCTTCCCTCGGGTCCCTCTCTTCCCCTCTCCCTCTCTCACCTCTCTTCCTCCTCTCACCTCGTCTTCGCCCTCTCGCACCCTCTTCCCTCTCCTCACCCTCTCCCTCTCTCACCCTCTCCCTCTCTCACCCTCTCCCTCTCTCACCCTTCCCTCTCTCACCCTCTCCTCGTCTCCCCTCTCCCTCTCTCTCCCTCTCCCTCTCTCTCCCTCTCTCCCTCCTCCCTCCCCCTCCCCCCTCCCCCTCCCCTCCCTACCCTCTCCCCTCCTCCCTCCCTCTCTCCCTCCCTCCCCTCCCCCCCTCCCCTCCCCTCTCTCCTCCCTCCCCTCCCCCTCTCTCCTCCCCTCCCTCCCCCTCTCTCCCTCCCTCCCCCCCCCTCTCTCCCTCCCTCCCCTCCCCCTGCTGTCCCTCCCTCCCTCCCCCTCTCTCCCTCCTCTCTCCCCCTCTCTCTCCCCCTCCCCTCTCTCCCCCTCTCTTCCTCCCCTCCCCTCTCTCCCTCCCCCTTTCTCTCCCTCCCCCTCTCTCTCCCTCCTCCCCCTCTCTCCCCCTCT